GCCGCCGCCGCCGCCGCCGCCGCCGCCCGCGCGCCTCCCCCCGCGGAGCGAGTGCGGGTCACCGGGTCACTGGGTCATTGTCTCCGCGCCCGAACCCCGAGCACCCCGTGGAATCCCCCACGTCATCATCAGAACCATCAATGAGATGCAAACATGAAAGACAAGAGGAAGAAGAAGGACCGCACCTGGGCCGAGGCTGCCCGCCTGGTACGTACCGCCCCCCGCCCGCCCGCCGCCCGCGCGTCCCGCCGGCCCCGCCGCTCGCCCCGCGCCGGCCCGCGGCGGCGGAGACGGCCACTTCCAGCCCGAGCCGCCGCCCGCTCGCCGGGCTCCTGCTCTTTGTTATTCTGCGGGAGTGGGCTCGCCCAGGGGCCCCTGAATGTGTGCGTGCGCGCGCGGAGGGGCGCTGCGATTATCTCGGGGAGCCCCGCGCCCGCCGCGCCCGGGACCGCCCGGGACACTTCTCCCGGTACTTCGCTCTCGGGGCTCGGCTGTGCCTTCGCCACGGGTGAATTTCCGAGCGCTCGGCCCCGCTCGACTTCCCTCTCTGCCGCTCCGGAGACCTTTGTGTGGCAATTACCACTCCCTCCCGGCCCCTCCACCTCCCGGAATTTCATCAATAACACTCTGTGCACGGTCTGTGTGTATGTTCGGCGTTTGTGAGTTCATACATTTTACACGTGCATGCACGGTGTGTGTCCGACACGGACTTGTGGGGCGTGTGTGCATGTGGGCTAGGTCGTGCGTGTCTGTGTGCCGTGTCGTGTGCATTATGTATGCACAGTGATACGTGCATGTTTTGTGTGGATCAAGTTCGTTTGTGTTTTGTAGGTATTGTGTTCTGCTCGATGTTTGTGTGTACATTCTGTGCACGTGTGTGCAGTTTTTGAGTGTGTGTGTCGAGGCGTGTGTGTGTTTAGTGAAGTTGGGTCAGTGTCATTTGTAGTGGGAGGTTATTAAGAGTGTACAGCTAGGTGTCTTTTAATGCTGGCTTCCTGGGCGGTGTTACTTGGCTGCTTTTCTTTAACCTTTCGGAGCTTACGTTTTAATCATCGAAAGAATGTCTCTATAGAAATGCTGGTTGGCAGAGGGGCGTCGGCGTCTTTGGTTTGATGCATGTGTATGTGTGGGTTTTTTTTTCTTTTTCTTCTTTTTCTTTTAAAGGACAGCTGTAAACGGATTTTTTAAAAAGGATATTTCTGTACAGTGTGCCTCACGGGAATGCGAGGCATTACATTTGAAGCTCAGCCTTTCAGGATTTCGGCTGCATAAATTAAATATTTATTTAGCGAACTTACTGTCTTTTATAATTGGCCAAAAGAAAGCAGACTGCATGCAATAGAGGGCGGGGTGTGGGGGTGGAAGACTACAGAACATGTTATTGGGTTGACTTTGTAAAGATTGTTGTACTATAACTGGGGTTTTTTGTTTTTTTTTGTGTTTGTTTGTTTTTAAGCCTTTGAGTAACTACATCATGCTCAAGGAGAACATTTGTCAAAAGTAATTATCTGAGTTTGGTTGAAGGGCCTTGCTGGTATGTTTCTGGATTGGAGCAAAGGGTTTTAAATAATTGACCCTATTGCCCTATGAAGCAGTGACAAAAGTCCCTTTTAATTACGGTCTAGTTATTGGAAGCTGAAGTGGATAGGCCCCTTTACTTCATCTCTTAATTTGTAGTAGTGTGTATTATGATTTCTCCTCTTATCTGTGATTGTGTTAATTACTAAATCATTCACTGTCTGTGGATGAATGGGCAGGTGATAGTCATTCTCTAATGAACTGCATCTGGGAGAGGAAACTTATCTGTGAGGAATATGTGAAAAGTAAGCAGTAAGTGTTAAGTAGATGCCAGATTGATGTTATCACTGAATTTTTGCTAGAGCATAGTACGTTACTTATTGTTTGCTCAGCCACTAATTCGGAATTGTGTGGGGGTGTGCAAGGCTTCTGAAAATGCATTATTCAGGTTCCTTAGAGTGGCAATCAAGTGTTATAGAGCTTCAGTGTATGTGTTTTAAACAAATGAGTGAGTTGACTTATAAATATTTTAAAACAATGCTTCATGAATTACCTATATCTGCCTGCAGAGAATTATTTAATAAATAACATCATTCTGATGGAATTTAAAGCTAACCATTTGTATTCAACCAGTATTTGTTACTATTCCTGAAAATACTGTGCTCTATTTGATGTAATCATAATGGATCTGTATTGATAAATCCTGAAATAGATTTCTTAGTTACAGCTTTTTGTTAAAAGTTGCCTTTTCCTCTTACAAAGTTTCATTGATGGGAAAAGACACACTAGGAGTCATCAACACAAAAGAATTAATCATAGACCAGATGTCTCTATTTTAACCAGACATATTGAACTTGTAGTTATGGTAATTTTTCAATTTGCTTCAAGTTATTTTTCCCCTGATAGTTGTACAAATGTGTATGTATTCAAAATGTGACAGCTGAAATAAAATACTGAACAAAATAGCAAGTTATTATACTAGAAATATCTTTCTGAGAAATTTGTGATTTGTGATTGTGACTTATGATCATTCTTAACTTTGTGATTAAAAAGGGATCCATTTGAGTAATGGTGATTTTTTTCATGTTTTCTTTATGATTACATGAATACATATAGACTTAAACTCTCTTACAAACTTGCATGAAAAAATTTTTACTCTTATAATTTAGTATTAATTTATACTCAGTTAAAAAGGAATGCTGTTTTGGGGGGCATTTCTGTGCTATAAATACTATCATTACACATTTCACACTGCCCCTGATGGTCTTGCTGTGGTTGTTGCTGTTAAGGACTTTTAGCCTTTTCTCCATCAAATGTTAAACTAGGTGTCTGACTTTAAAAGCAAAGACTATGGATGGACAGAAAATATGCATGTGGTTCTTGAAATATATGAACTAAAGAAAGTATCCAAATTAACATTAAGAATAACCTTCCAATCATATTGTATATACTGTATATCTCCTACTGTAGTGTGTGTGTTTGTGTGTGTGTGTGTGAGTGAGATTATCTTAAAAGAGCGGGTATCGGGAGAGGAAATGCAAAATACATTTTTTGAACTGTGACCAAAAGCTTATGTTTCAATGTAGCTTTGCATTCATTTTTAAGAAAAATATAGATGGAAGAAGAACAGTTCTTTGTAGAGTAAGAACTTCCAGTCGACAACAGAATTTGTGCTTGCTTTCTTTGTGAGAAAAGTATATGGTCTGTAAATCTACAAACTCTGAGTGGCAACTCCAGGGATTTTGCTTTAGATAGAGATGCAGCTATCAAACCCTACCAATTTTCTCACAGAAGTATGTCATGTTTGTATGTGGTGAGCCTGCTTAGCTTAGGAAAGAAGGAATGGTAGTATAATTTTTCTGTATTTTCAGGAATGTCGTGATTATTAACAGGCTGCCATTTTAAAAACAGTAACACCACACACCACATCTTTTCTCTTTCTCTCTCTCTCTCTCGCTCTTTTTTTTTTTTTTTTTTGGTCTTTTTGCCCTGCATCAGTTGGAGAAATTTCAGCCTTTAGCCTCCTCCACTCCCCCTCAGCGTTCTGCAGTTGTGGTTGTTACTTTGCGCATTTCCATTTAATATGGAGGCTGCTCCTAAACCAGATGCATTTTCATCTGTTTTATCTGCTCTTCTAAGGTTATAGAGTCTCAGAGGATCCCACAATCACATGGAAGTATCTTCTGTCTTAATATTTGTAGACCACAATAAGAATAAAAATCAAAACCATAACTCATGTCGAGCTGGGGCTTTGACTTTAATCCTTTTGACTTTTATCTCAAGTCTTTACTCTGTTACTATAAATACAGTTTAAACCATTGTGAAAGGATCTTCATGCTTCTTTGTAAAAAAAAAATGGGGATTTGACAGGACTTTGTTTTACTGCACTAAGGGGTTTCTTTGTTACTGGCTTAACACAGAACATACTGTTATTTATATATTTATTCTAGTTTAATTCTTTTTTTTTTCTGACATGCAAAAATGTTGCTTTGAGAAGTCCTTTTTGATAGTTTCATCACTTTGTTCTATAGGGGAATGCACTGGTAAGATAATGATTCAGTGTATTAATTTGTTCCCTGAGTTTCTTCTGTTTGTTTCATTCCTTAACAATCTTTATTTAGTCTCACTGGCACCTGAAAATAAATCTTAACAATCTTCAATAGCTTTGTGCTTGGTAACATGGCTGATTTATTTGCTTGTAGTTCACAAAGATAATGACTATTAGTAGGGGTTTTTTTTGTGGGTTTTTTTGTTTTTGTTTTTGTTTTTTTGTTTTTTGGTAGTTCAAGGTGACCTTTGGGGGAAAAATTCTTTTAATGGAAAATTTGCCTCATTGTTGGGAGAAAACAGATACATATCTCTTTATGCCATAGCAAAGAGTTACTGAAGCTTTTAGTAAGTTGAAATTCTGTAAATCAGATTAAAAATTAAGTGGGGGTTTATGAATTAGAAGGAAATCTGTGTGAATCTTTTGCACAGAGAAGATATTTTTGCATAATGCATTATATGCTAAATAAACTCTTAGGGTTCCTATGAAATAAAGCCGAATGATATTGGTGGCTGTTAACATAGAAAACAATTCATAATTGTTAATTTACTGGTTGCCTTGTCTTTTGTCTTTGTATTTTAGAAATATATATAATTTTTCAGGAATGATGAACATGGGGATGGAGGGTAGAGCATTGGTACTGCTTTTGGCATTTTCTCACTGTGCTTGGATTTCAGGTTATGACCAGGCCTTGACAGTTGAGAACATTTCTACTTGTGATTTGGGGTAAGCCCCAAAGGTGCACATGAGCATAATTGTGACGGTGCTTATTGGCTTATGAGCCTGGCTAACGTATATGGCAAATGGAGTTTTATTTTCAGTCGCTTACATTTCAATTGGTTTGATTCAGCTGTTTTCTGTGATCTACACGTAACATCATCTCTTTATGTCTGTATCTCATCATCTCTTCTTTCAGATGGGGAACCTAAATTTTCATTGCAATTTGAAAGATGGAAAAGAGTTTAGCAATCTCTCTGCCTCTGAGTTTCAAGTTGGGAAAAACGTGTTTGAAATAAATGAGAAATGTGAACTTAGGCCTAGTGTTTAGGTTGTTAATTTTTTATTTCGTGCTGACATGAAAGGGAATTTTAAGAGTTGATCCTTAAGTTTTTCTCTTCTTCGAGAAGTCTTTGGTAGCAGA